AAATACTCCCTTCTCGGAAAGCTGTGTTTTGATTACTCCCATATTTACTGTACTGTGCATGTGCCTACAGAAAGCAAACAGCTTCAGATGTGCTATAATGATAAGTTTGGGCAGTCAGTGTCAGGAAATGTCGGGATGATCGGACCCCTCCTTATGTACAAAGAACGCTAACCATACAAGTGGATACCCCTAGGGAATACCAATGGAAACATACGGGGTCATTGACCTCACGGGTTACGGACGTCATGCACGGGCCAGGCTAGCACGTTTCCTGTGGGAATTTAATGCAATATTTCCTGCATGATTTTCTTTAATTAAGTGGGAAGAAGGCACAGGGACAGCCAAGTGAACAAAAGTTTCCTCGGTTACTATTACTTTTTATTAGGAACAAATGAAATAGCTATCGTGAGTAGGAATTCTGTTCTACTAAGGAGCTTCTATCAACAGTTCTTTCAAGAGGGCCATCAAGGGTTGGAGGTTCCAGTCAAGAAAAAATGTTGTGTATCTGTTTACCCCACCAATTTTAGCAAAAAACTTTTTTTTTGGTAAGTTGATGGCAAAGAATCTGGCCTTTTTTTTATATTTAAAAATTTTGATCTTACATGTGAGTGATGAAAACGCTGTAGAATTGTTATTTCTGTTGCAATAGAAACAAACAAACATGTAAGCAAACATAATGTACTTTTACAAATATACTTTAGCTTTTACAATGTATATCATATATGAATATAATGTTAATTACTTCAATAGCTTGGTGCAGTGTCAAGACGTGGATGGACACCAGAATGCCTGGGAGTACCCAATCATGGTTCTTCATACTTGTCCGCCTCCTAGTGGCAGCTGTCAGTACTGCAGCACAGTACAGGGATTGTTCATTAAATGGTGAGTATTGCATAAGGCCTTCGTTGGTAGTTGGTCATATAATGTTACATCATGTGATAATACCTAATATCACAGATGAATGAATGTTGCAATAATATAATGTTCCTCAGCAATGTTTTGTTTTCTAGTATTTCTTTTTCGTTTATTGTTACAATGTGATATTTCAACCTCTGAAAGTTGGTTTATTGGTACTTTGGTTCATTTACAGAATTTAACATAAAAATTTAATGGACTTGGGGAGGAGGTCCTGATAATGCTTAATGCCAAATTCAGAATGTTGTGTATTGTTATTGTTGTGTATTGAAGCGGCAAGAACTCCAGTCAGGTGCCTTACAGACATTGAAATGTAATCAAGCAGGTGAGATACAGTGTAATATGGGTTGTGTACTCGAGTAAGAAGAAAAACCAAGGGATATTCTGGTACCCACAGATATACATGGCAGAGTGCAGCCTGTGAGTCCAGTAGCGCTCATTGGGTCCACGGTCACACTCAACTGCACCATACGTCCTGATGAAGACGGCATCACTGCGCATGAGGTGTTCTGGAGAAAAGGAACTACACTGATACCACCGGAAAACTACCACGCTCTTAGTGACACAGTCAGTCAGTTGGTTCTACAGAATGTTTCGCAGACATCGCCAGGGCACTACGTGTGTTTCGTCCCTGAGCCAATCAGACAAGACTGTCCTGTTGTTGGCGGGGTGGAACTCAATGTCGGATGTAAGTATATATGGATTTAATCATGTATGTATCTACTATGTACTAGTATGTGTGTACGTATTGTACATATGTATGTATGTTATGTACAATGTACATTGTATAATATCTATTTATTCATCTATCTATCTACCAATCTATATGCAGTGTTCGAAATACCTGTCTGCAGTCTGCAATTTGCAGATAGATTTTCAAGATTGCAGAAGAAAAATTTATACAATCTGCAATTTTGCAGCAGGAAAAATTGGCACTTGGGATTTGGTGCTCTTGGCCCCAAGGACAGACAACACTTATAAGCTCCTGTTCTGAAACAACAGGAGCTTCTTCACTAATTTACATCAACCTTGTCTTGACTTGTTTATCTTTTGTTTCCTTGTGGACTTCAAAAAATTTGTCTTCACTAATTTGCATATCAATCAATAGTTCATGCTTATAAACTTGCAAGATTGTAGTATGGAGGCTTGTGTATTTGCAGAAAGTATTTCCAAATTGCAGAACAAAATTTTGACTCTTCTGCAATATTGCAGAGCACTGAAAAAAAGTATTTCGACCACTGATATGTATCTACTAGTATCTACATATTAGATAGCTATAGATATATGTAATAGATTTATATCTATGTAATATATTGTACATGTATGTATGTATCTATGTATATCATGTCTCAAGAATGTCTTGAACACCTGGATATGTAAAGTGTGCATATCTAGCTATAGTCCCTGCAGTCTTGACTAAGCTAGCAGTACTTCTTAGTATGTGTACTACATGTGTAGAGCCTCTTCTGACTGTATGTTTAAAGAGACTCAGGGTCTTTCTGTATTTAGATGCCCCAGAAGAGCTAGTGTTGGACAGGTGCCTGTCAGAAAACCTGGATTCTTTCACCTGCTGGTGGTCCAGAGGACGGGAACCATTGATTGACACTGAATACAGCATAACATACACCCACTTGTAAGTACTGTCTTATTCATAACCTATGATTGAAACTCTAACCCTTCAAGGAATAAGAAAGAGAAGCAGAGAATTTGTCTCACCATGGAGGTACAACTTTTTAGTTCCATGGTCTCACATTAGCCATGTATCACTCATCACTACATTAAGCACGCTAGTACCTCCTGTAAAATGACTTATGCTTTAACTTGACTCGACTTTATGTGTATTTAAGGACACATTTGAGCATGTGTATGCATTTTATCTCAAGCAAAGAAGCTCTCCCAGGATGGAGGAATAAAGAATGGAAATAAAATCAATGAATGAGTGAATGAATTTATACCGAATGTCATCTCTCGTTATTCAATATCTACATGTATGTCTCTTGCCTCTCAGTCACAGTTCAAGTTTCAAGTTTCAAGTTTATTTATTTCACCAGGGAATACCTCAGATCCATTCATCTGCTTTTCAGGTATCCCTGGGCACACATTAAAAACATACAATTTCATAAAAATACAAATTGAACCCAACAATATACAGAAACGTTACAAACATGTACATGTTTGGTCAATGAACAAACAAACAAGCAAATGATTTACCAAAGTGACAAATGTCATTTCAATATAACTCACTATCTAGGAGCAGAGCAGGCCTGGAGGCGTGTGAACCACTGGAGGTGGAGGGTTCCTCTGTAGTCTGTCACTTTGTGTCTAGTATCAGCCACGCCGGCAACATTCTCTTCCACCTGAACGTCACAGCTACGAACAAGCTTGGCAGGGCGGAGTCTAATAACTCTGTAAACCCAGAAAACTACGGTATGCCATTGTTCTTCAATTAACATGTGGTTCCTTATTTTCTTCCACCATAAAATTCTGGCTCCTGTGATCTTAAAGCAGCAAAATGTAGGAGAGAATTTTGCATTTTCGAAACTCTCCTACAGAGATTTAATCCAAAATTTTATGTCTGACTCAATGAATTAGTGTAGTATTTGTATCTATACGGGATATGTTGGGATAAAAGAAATCTTTTATCATGGTATTCCAGATATGTAAATCATGTAACATGAATGGCTTTTAGAACTTTGTTGATGGATGTTGAAAATCCACACTTTGATATGACAGCTGAAATTCATTTGAATAGTGTCTAACCAGTTAAAGATTTTTTATCATCTAACAGTCAAACCCAATCCAGTCCGTAACCTGCGTGTGGTGGATCGGAGGTCAACATCCGTGTCATTGTCCTGGGATAACCCTGCTGAGCTACATGTAAGCCACTTCCCCCTATTGTACCAGGCAAGGTACCGGGCAGAGTGGGATAGCCCCAACACATTTAAGGTAAGTCTTTATGGTATACCTTAAGGAGAAAGTTAACATGAATGTCATTGTCCCAAAGCTACAAATAATCTTTACAATGTACCTGTCAGGTATTAGAATAAAGTTCCATGAAGCAGAATCAGCTTATATTTTCTGTGATAAATGCTGGTCAGTTGTATGATTTTTTATTGTTTATTTTGTTGGTTGGTTGGTTGGTGGGTCGGTAGTTGGGTTGATGGGTGGGTAGGTGGGTGGGTTGGTTGGTTTGGTGTTTAGTTGTATGAATCAGGGTCCATTTTGTAATACTTATTTGTATACTGTCAGATCCAAATTCAGAATCCTGAATATTCTAAACTATCAAGAGCCAGTACAGGGAATGGGACCCTATAAGGCCCAGTATGTACCCTTTGTCTCTGACCTTGAATCTTCTTGTGTTTTATATCAGTACGTAAACTTGAGCCAGATGACACACGGTGACCTGACTGGCCTGAACCCCTTCACGACCTACGACATCTGTGTCCGTTCCCACCCTGTCCGTCCCGAAGGTTACTGGAGCGACTGTCCTGACCAGCCGGTATCCGTACAAACAGACAAGGCTGGTCAGTTATTGAATCTTCAATTGTTTGTCTTCTGTTTTATAATGTTGCTGTCACAATAAAATGTTTGCAACTCTACTCTACAGATTTAGTCACTGAAAAATCAATAAAGCACATTGTAACCCATAATGTTTTGACCATATGGGAGACGTGGCTCGGGTACTGAATTGTTTTGATGAATAATATCCGTAGGCATGATGATGATGAAACATGAAACATGGTGAAACCCCCCAAATCCCTGATCCATATTGAGTATGTTTTTAGCTGTACTATATTAGCCTCTATCAGGCTTCAGAGACAGCTGGAAAGAGTAGAAACTGTCCAAATAGACATTCAAATAACATCCATGTCAGGGGAGTTGGTCTGCTAAAGGAGTACAGTTTGCCACTCTAAACTTTACTCCTTTAGTAGACTAAATTCTGGGCTGGCATGTTATCAGTCTATTTGGCCAATTTGGTAGCAACCTCTGAAGCCTGATAGAGGCTAAACCACAAGTTGATTTTGCAGCCCCTGTGGGTTCAGTACCTGCCTGGCTGCACGTCACTCCCAGCAGGGATGCAGGAATCAGGAATGTCGTCATTTACTGGAAGGTAAGATCCGTTCAACTTCTACAATTGTACTAACGTTAAATAACAAAATGTGTTTACCTTTTTCCAGTACTTAAAAAGTTGTAAACACTTGCTTGTAGTCTTTGAGCATGCATTCTAGAAAACAGATTGCACAATAAATAATTTTCTTGTTTTTTTGTCTACTAGTACTTGACTTGTTGCTTGGGATGAAAACTAGGAATAGGAAAATTTAAGTTTGAATTGACAGTTATATTGTTTGAATACATGCTGTACCATGTGCACTTTTTTATACATTTCATATATGTGGATAGTACTTTAAACTTTCTTACTACATTATGCTATGCTTGGTGATAACAAATTTCTTCAATATATATATATGTATGTAAACAAGAAAAGCAACCTAGTAGACAAAGAATTAGAATGTAAGAAAATTGAGATATTCAAAATTTTTACGTCCAACTTAGGAATTGCCTCCGAGAGACCGGAATGGCGTCATCAAGGATTATACAGTGACAGTTGCCTCGATGTTGAAACAAGGGGAAATTTCGCGGGATAGCTACGGACCTTTCACCATCCCAGGCAACGGGCGGCACAGGAATCTGTCCGAGCTGCAACTGAAGTCTGACACATCATACGTCATCAAGGTTCATGCTTCCAATGAAGTGGGACGGTCACAAGATAAAATTCTACTGCTACCTCAAGTTGGTCATGGTAAGAAATTGATTCCTGGAATTTTGTACTTTGACTGGAGACCAGTGTAATTACAGAATATTAGTCTAAGAGTTTCTATGCACAACAAACTTCTTCTTACCTCTCAACATTTTGCTACCTTCTATGTGTACCAAGAACCTTCTTGCTTCTACTGTCTTTGATGTAATATATTTCTTGGAGCTAGGTGGCGCCACTACAAGAAGAATGTAGTCCTAAATACATGTATAAAGCTTGTATCCCCCCTTGTTCTGGGTCACGACTGGAGTGAATTTTACTGATTGGCAATTTGGATGAATGGTATATGGTTTTAAGTATTTTGTCCATCTTGGACAATGAAAATCAATGTGAAAACATCTTCATTTTAGGGAAAACACATTTCATTTTAATATTTATTCAACATATTTGTTTGTGTTTGTCCTTTATATTAGTGCCAGCCGTTCCATCAACAATAAACATCAGTGTGACATCACCAACATCTGTTACATTGTCATGGCAACAACCGGAGGAAACCCGTGTGCAGCTCACCGGGTACATCGTTTTTGGATGGCGTGGAAGTCTGAGAATCAGATATACATGTGGGGCAAGCCTGACTGGGAGAGTATAACTGACGACCAGGCACTGTCTGCGGCAACTGTACAACACGAGATCTCGCGTGGGTTACAGGGACGTACACGGTACAGGTTCGGGGTTGCGCCAGTCTCCCGTGAGGGTTTCGGAGAGGCAAAAGTTGTTGAGGCGTACACAGAGGAGATGGGTAAGTGTTAAGATTTTGGTTTTGTCATGTTTGTTAGCTGAAAAATGTCAAGATGATACATGTATGCAGTGCTAAAGTGATGAATGAAATTAAATAATGGAGGTATAAGCTGTCCTTCTAACTCCATTATGAAATGAAGGACAAACCTAACTTTTCTCACTGCAAATCCGGTAATATCAATCTGGCATTTGTATTAAATCTTTTGTTCATAAAATTATGTACCGGTAATAAGTTTTATCTTGCCTTCGTCCATATATCAATAATTATTAAATGACGTCATATACCATCATGTCATGTGTATATGATGGTATATAATGTTAGGTGGCATCTAAAATATCATATATGACATCATATTATGGCATGATAACATTATACATGTACATGTATGATGATTAATGATTTCATGGTACATGTGTATATTATAATATCAATACAGTGTGACATGAAACTGATATTTGATATGATATATGATAACGTTATATGATATGATATGATATGATATATGAGATATGATATGATATGATATGATCCACAGTTCCAGTGGGCCAGGTTGAAGACCTGACCCTGACTACAGCAGGCCCCACCTCCCTCCAGCTGACCTGGGAGCCACTGAGGCTGGAGTGGCGAGGGGGGATCCTACTGGGGTACCTGGTGCAGTACTGCCCCCTAGTGGAGGGAGCTCTATGTGCAGGTGTGTGGATGTTATTTGTACTTACATGTGTCAGAAAGAGCTAATTGTTTCTGAACATAGACTAAAATCAATGAGTTCACTGGGTGAGAGCCTGTATATTTTGGCACCCACACTTCCTGAATGGTATTTACAGTATTTCAATGGAGTTAGGTTGATTCAAATTACTTTGTAAAGAATAAATGACCAGGAATTTTACTTGTTGTATCGTCCTAATGTTAACGTTACATAATGCAGTGAAATAGTTCATACACTGATGTTGTTTTCTCTTTATTTTCTCCTTGAAGAAGGAAGCGTCCGCACAGTAAATGTCACAGGTGAGGAGACAGCATCAGTCCTGCTGCAGGGTCTGAGTCCATTCACCCGGTACTCTGTAAGGATCGCAGCTGTGAACCGTGTGGGCTCAGGACAGTTTAGCGCTGCATCTGTACAAACAACAGCTGCAGCAGGTGGGTGTCATCCGCAGACACTTTATGTTTATTTATTTATTTAATTATCATAATTCACCACATACACGTACATGGAAGGCATGGTGGAACAGGTGTACCTAAGTACACCTTTCCGAGGCCACCATGTTGTACCAGAAACTTCCATTCATATCTATCTGCTGACTTATATAAATCTGCTACTTTGAAAATCATGTCACCTTTCTGGTGTGGAAGAGCAAATGTCTGAGGTATGATAATTTCCTCATAATGTAAGGAAGAATTTAAATTGATATGCATGACTTATAATTAAGCATAGAAGCTTTTTGACAGCATCCATCATCTTTCTTCAGCTACATGTACTGAATTTCTAGAATGTAACATGTATTGCAAGTAAAATGTTAAGATGGTATTTGATATACATGTATGTACAGCATCCTTACACCGTGTTTTGAAAAATACTTGGGAAATCATAATGTTTTGAACACTTTCTTACAGCTCCTGAGGACCCTCCAACCAACGTACGATTCCCAAATGTCACAGCGACAGTTTTACGGCTGATGTGGGACCCTCCCAGGATACCAAACGGCATCATTACATACTACATGGCACAGGTGAACAGCACACTACTGTAACGTGTTCAGTTGATAACTTTCTTGATCTAAAACGGCATCCAAATAATTTTTCATTGATATGTAAGTAATTGACTATGCCTTTTGTAACCATGTAGATTAGGTACAGGTGTGCATTGTTGTTTTTATGTAGGTCTTACATATTTTAATTGGAGATTTACATTATTTCTGGAAAAATTGATAACTCACTCCAGTTCCACAACAGCTTTTACTGGATTATCTAGTTTTAGTTATTTTGACCTTAGTTCAATACATATGCCATCCATCTATCCATCCATCCATCCATCCACTTTCATTTACACTTTATCCTTTACCAGCAATTCTCTTATCCATTCACCAATTCCTTCCTTCCTTCCTTCCTCCAGGTGAATGGAGATGTGCACCAGCTGGTTGATGTTGACAGGGTCCCTGTCTACGGGAACACAAACTACAGTGTTCGGCTGCAGGCCTGCACCAGTGCTGGGTGTGGGCCCTTCTCATCCAATCACTCTGTCACCACACCTATAGGTGGTAAGTCTGGCATTATAACCTTAACCCTCATTCTGCTCAGTAGCCTTCTGACATTTGAACGGTGTTGGCTACAGGGTTAGGCCGCAGGGAGAAGACCAAGGTCATTCCTGAAAATACATGAATGATGAACTAGGCAGCATATTTCCTCATACATGTATCTTTATTCCCATTATTTCCTTGCTATTTCAGACATAAATTGATACATTATACATGTACATGACTACTTACCCTCTCCAAACATAGTGAAGCAGATTCATCATGATGCTGATGTTGGCCTCCTCAACCCAAAGAAGAAGAACTGCTACAACATTAATGCTTTTGTTCCCCCTCTTTGTAACCCTGGTATTTATCAATTATGACATTGATTTATATTTCATTTCTGATATTGAAAACTCCCAGACCCAGAGGCTCCACCCCCACCAACCGTCTCCGATCGTAAGTCCTCCCCATCCACCGTCCACCTCCGTCTGGCCCCTCCGGCCCATCCAAACGGCCCGATTGACCACTACCTTGTGTCGTACACGCAAAAGGACAGCAATGGGAGAACACAGCCACACGTCCAGAGGGTTGAGGGGACGACGGAGGCAGTTATAGAGGTGGACTGTGCTGAGAACAAAGCTGTTACGTACGAGTTCTGGGTACAGGCTGTCAATAGCGATGAGCAAGGAGGGCCACTTACAGGAGAATCCAGCACAAGGCTGGAAAGGCAAATGTGCCTGGGTATGTAATCATCGTATAATTATGATACTACATGTATCTTTTTCGTACAACACTAATTGAATCTTACCCAAAGACTGATGCATTTTAAAATAGCCTGTCACAGTGAATTTTAAGAGTCTTCATCTTCTATAGCTAGAAGCATCATTAGTCCTTGAGGTACTTGCACTAAGGATATATCCACTGGCAGGTGTTCAAGACAATTTCTTGAGATAGAAGGCATCCATAAGCTTGTGTCAGTCTACCTGATGGAATTATGAGAGTTGATATGACAATAATTATTATATACAAGATTATATAGTACTAATTGTGTGTATTGATGAACATTCTACATGGCAAGAATATAGATATACCTTTTTGTTGTTGTTTTACAGTTCCGGTGGTGAGAGTTGATGGTATGTATAATCCTACAATTCCTAGTCACACTATTAGTATTACAACAATTTCCTACATTTTGTGGCCTTTTAGACACATTAAATCTTACTAAAAAGTCAAGATGTTGTTTGTTATTGTCTGTTGCTAGGTGTGCCGGTTGCCATAGTGATCCCAGTTGTTGCCGGGATCATCAGCATCATTCTAGTGACCTTCCTGGTGTGGAAGAACAGACACAGGTATGAACACAGCTCCTCGACTAGTTCTCAACAATGGTAATCTCAATTCTGAATTTTAAGCATGAAGTCAAATTTATTGCACAACGATTGTAACATGTACAATGTATAGAAGATAATGAGATTACTAGACTCCATCAAAATTCTACATGTCGGTTTAACGGGTACTATGTCTGGCAGAATGTTGAATAGAACTATTGGCTAAGAACAAGTACATCTCTACAAAAATAAGCAGTAAAAATAGCAGATTTTATTTCTTCTTGACACATGATACAGATGCCATGGACCCTGCAGACCATTGTTTAAACATCCTTGCTGTTGGGGTGGACCTTTAGGACGAATATCATTTTCCCGATCTGTTTCTCACATTAGTATTCCTCACTAGGCAATCTCTATAACTTGATGGAGTAGCATGTGATAAAAAACTACATTGTACATGTGTACACTGAAGGACAAAGTAAACTTCAAAGGTTATTAGGAATACACAAAAAATGTAACATTGTAGTTATCAAAATAAAGTGCTTCAGATTTCCAACACAGTAACTAACTTCTACATATCATCTAGGGTGAAGCGGAAACTCTTTCCCCATGTGCCGGGACCCGTCTTGTTCCTGGAGAAGGTATGACTTATAATCATTATCTTGTCAATACTTGATATGTTTGCAATGTCCTTATCATGTACACAATGTACAACATTCCATGTCATGGAATGTGGTTATATAACGTGCCTATGAATACACAGTATATTATGGAAGTATCACCAAGGTAATACATAATCGCTTTTAGCATTGCATTCTACCTGGCTTTGGGAGCAGGATCCCGGAGTGGTAAACTATGATCTAGATCTGTCCATTTGGCCAACTTTCCATTGCTTCCTGAAGCCTGGTAGAGGCTAGCATTGCATTGCAGTGAATTGCTTTTCATTCATGTTAAAGCAGAATATGCTATTCATAGGAACTCACTGCATAGAATCAGGGGAATGTATCTGAAGGTTAGTTAGTTAGTTTGTTTGTTTGTTTCTGCCAGGACGGACCCTACTCTGCCTTGTACGTCGTCACTCCCACCAGCAAACATGAGCCTGAGATTTGTGACGACATTTCTGACTTCCTATCGAAAGACGGAGAAGTATCACTGTTGACAGACGGTCAAGAAAGTCTGAATAAGAACGAGGGCGTAAATGAGGCAAGACCATCAGCTCCAAAGACGCCTCTGGGTTCAATGTCGTACGTTTCCAGACAGGAGGACAGCTCCCCCCCATCAAATGGAATATCCCAAACTCCCGAACATCATTCGCCAACAGATAGCCTTAAGACGATGTCTTTGTGGGATGCTGAAAAGACTCCTCGTAGCAAAGACCAAACGAAAACTCTGGACACATACATCAGGGTGGTACCAGAAGGAGACGAAGAATTCTATTGCGTGACGGGAACGTTGCTTGAGAAGACGACACCAAACTCTGACAATATGCCATACGTCACTAATCTGCCTTCTCCACTGCCAAATGACGCAAATGTGGATTCTAACCCAAATCTAGATTATTGCGTGACAGGAACTTTGCGTGACAGCACTTCACCAGGGCCAACTAGACAGCAAGTGCCCCCAGAATCTGACATGCCCTACATCACAAACATTACCACCCCACCTCCTAGTGGCAATAGTGTAGATTCTAAACCAGAGGGTGAAGAGCACTTTGGGTACCAAGCACGCTATAGCAAGGATTCACCCTGTGAGGAAAAGGAGCCGCTCATTGGTAACCAAGGAGCTGAAGGTCGTTACCATGGAGCTGAAGGTCGTTGTCCTGACAACCAGGAAAGTCCCAAGGTTAACACAGATGGTTATGTGAGAGGAAGCTTGCCTGATGGGAATTATGTCTCAAACATGCCGGATAACGCCAGTCCAACCTTTGCGCCATACACGCCACATTAGAAAGATCATATTAGACATGCTTCTTTGCATGCCGTGGACCAGTAGTTCAAAGCATGCGCCAGTAGTTCAAAGCCAGTTGACCTAGCTTGCATCTCAACCAGAAAGTTAAGGGCTTTAGACTCGTCGGTTACAGATCCAACTCGCATATCTAAGAAATTAAACAGTTGCAATTCTCAGGACAGGACATATACATGTAGCCTAAGTTTACATCTTACTATGCTTTTAAAAAGAGGAGTCTAGTTTTATCGAATACTACTGTAACAATGTATATTATTGCACTATGTACATTGCATAAAATGCATTTGCTGTATACACAAATTTAAAGAGCCATTATTATTATGTGCCACACTTAAAAACCTTCTAATTAATAGAAGCATCTCAGTTACATTGAAGGTACTAGTATGTGCCAAGTCAGCTAGGAAAAGACAGTGCCACCTATTGCCAGTGGTTAAGTGAAGATTGTTTAGTATTACATGTACTTGTAATTATTCAACTACAAGCTGGTGCATGTACATTTTTGTACTAGTAGTGTGTTACACATCCTCAAGTAAGAGATGGTAGCTTTTTTACGTGATAGAAATGTAGGAGTACAATGTTCAAGTAGTGGTTAGTGTAATAGCATTATGTTTGGAAGTAACACAAACATATTGAATCATGTTACCTTCGAATTCTATATAATGTTATGTTTTCAATTCAGTTAAGGCTCATTATAAGGCTGTCAGAGTTATTGAAAACATGCTGCTATGCTGTACATGCCTGAATTTTGATATCAAACATAAATAAAACAGTTAAATATTTTTTGTCCTTTGTGATCATACTACCGGTAGTATTTAATTCTCTAATGTTTTCATTGTCTAAGTCATAATGTGCAATGAAGCAAAAATAACACCAACAAGTACAATTATCAGTCCCACAGTTTAATGCACAATCTTTCAATGCCATATAAACAGAAATACATGTACTGTGATGAAGCACGTTAAGTACGATTAACAGAACACTGTGACACAGACAGTGTCTTTTATACATACCATTGGCTGTAACATTCTTAGTCTTCTTAACATAAATTCAAGACTTAGTCTATTTTAGACTTTACAGGTGTCATCACTTTTCTGCATCACTTTTCTTGCATACATTTACATACACATACAAGACATCCTATCTAAAATATGCAATAAGGTAAACAATCTTAGAACTTACTAGTACAGTACATGTAAAAAAAATCAACCGTTTTTTCCTGCACACCTGCTGCTACAAAACCTGAAATAAAGTCAATTTTTAAACTACTATACCATAAATGTATAGTACTACATTCTTTTAACATTTTACTTGCCATAAATTGTGGGGCCTTATAAATGGAACACAAACTTTTTCCATATACTGTACACTACATGTATATCATTGTGCACACATTTGAATAATTTGCTGGTTTAGTAACTTTTATAAGATCAGACACTTGATTTTTTTAATTAAAAATTTGGATCAAAAGTCACACACACTCTGGTGTATCATCTGCTGTTCCCAGTTATATGAGGTTAGACGTGGCTGTATGCATGCGTCAAGGCTTGACAGCACCTCACTGGGTACCCGTCACGTGGTTTTAAAATGAGGCCTGGGAATGAAAGGCTGAATCATTCACCAACCTGATGAAATAAGTCACAAGAAAAGGCCTCCAACACGTAGCAATTATTTACTGTCCCCTGATGACAACCGCAACAATTTGTTAAATCAGCAGCATCTTTTTGCATGTAAGCATAACTTGGTAATACTGTAAGAATGCTTTTTAAAATATCTTTTATGAAAGACTGTGTTTTTAATTATATAGTAAAAAAACTGTATTGTAAAATAGTGTGTATTATGTTGATGAGATGTGCTAAGCTTTTTACCAAGTCTTGCTAGGATCTGCCTTAAAGAAAAGAGCATTACTGTGTTAAGAAATCTTTAAATTTGTTCCTGATACAACAAAATGTAAAATACTATGTACAAGACTGTGTGTTACCATGGAGGTAGAAAAAACCTACATGGTGTTACATAGAAATATAATGTTGTTTCTGACTAATTTCATGTGCCAATACACAAATCTGTTCCCTCACACTGTTACAACAAAACTTATCAATAAACATCTCAAATTCAGTCACTGATGATTTTGGTTTACTGTGTCAGAATCTCCATATAACATTGATACAGTAACTATAACAATTATACCACAGTACACACCACTGATGAGAAGCACCTACATGTACCTATCTACGTGGACATGACTTGTACAGTTACATGACGTACATGTACATGTGTTCCAACTGAGAAGAACCGGAATTAGACTAGCTGACATTTACAGCTCTTCTGACAAATCTATGTCATGTAGAATGGTCTGTTATGCTGATACAGATACATATAGATACGAGATACATGTACAAATACAGAATCATGGTAGATTTCGATGTTAAAATTGTAATGGTGGAACAGCCTTGAGACATTTTGTCTTCAATTTGCACTATCAAGTAACACAATTTCTCAGACTAGGCAGGATGGCCCTACCCCTAATTATTCATCTTCTCATTTGCATACAGAGCTATAATGAGATCACAAAGTAAAGCGCATTGAAAAAAACAAACAAAATACCTGTCCAAATTTAATAAATTCTCTACCAATTCTGAATTTGGCCAAGATTGTTTACAGTGTGATGCCAGGGTTATAAATGACATCTGACACTCTCTTTTACATACATGTATAACTAGGATAAATCTTGAGTAATAGGTGCTTTTTCTGATACAATACAATGTTCCAGGACTCAAAAACATGTTATTCTGTAGCCAACATACACACAAAAGAAATTATTTACATTTTTTGATCACTGTGTTTTTTTCATCATTATATACCGGTAATATAAAAAATTACTGACATGTTTCAATTTTTCTCCAGTAAGTCGATAATCGATTGATACAGAGCCTGGGCCTAAAATACATCATCTCATTTTTATCTAAATTTCTGTGTACATAATAGACAACTTTGATGAAAGTTATCTTTGATTGATACAAAATATCCATAAACATGTACTACTCTGGAATGCATTTGAAAGCAGGAACACACACAAAAAAAACAATTAAAAGGTATTAAAAGTTCAACAGAAGACACAAGTTTTCTAGCCAGCCTGCTTTTTTTTCTTTGTCATCTCAAATTTGTTTGACGTAACAACATGTTGAGTGCAGAAGGCACAACAATCCTGGAAGGGTTCGGGGGCATGCTCCCTTGGGAAAGTTTTGAAATCTTTGCATTTTGAATGGCAAATTTTGCTGGTGGACTAAGCTTAGTTTAGGGGACATATCTTTACATGATGACTTTTGTCTGTCAAAGATGACGCATTGGTCAAACTTTTTGTCTGTCATGAGCGGCAAAATTCCGTCAAATGACGGAAAGACTCTCCCAAGTCTTGCTGGTGACCTTTGACCCGATACATGCCAGTTATTGCCAAAGAATTGGCAGTTGGACATACATTTGTAGCTGGAATTAGGAGAAGACAGACGCTGGCTGGAACACAAAGATACGGTGTAAGACACAGAATCTTTTCAACATTTCATCTCGCCTGCTGTTTTGATGTACGTGGTATTGTCGGCCTGGTGACTTGGGATTTCTTCGATGGGCGTTGGAATGGTTGCCCCAGCAACTGTTGCAGGGGCAAACGGGAAGCCTTGCAGGATGTTTGGCATGGACTTGCTGATGTAGTTCTTCAGCTGGCTCTCTGGAGACGGTGGCTCTTCAACAGTGGTGCTCGGTTGGCTCTCGTTGGACTTGTAACCGGATGATCCTGACGTGACCGGCAGGGATTCGAGGCTGTACCGTGACTTGTAGTCTGGTTCGACGAACTGGCCAGGCTTTCCCACCGCCGCCCGGACGTATCCGTCCATCGGTTTGGCCTTCTGCTGGGCCGGGTTGGCTGAATCGTGGCGGAGAGTGTAGGTCTGAAGGTAGTCGGGGGTCTCGGTGCCACTCTTCCTGTAGTAGTCACCTCCGGCTCCCATTCGGACATAATCCATGATCCCGTCTGCGGTCTTCAGGTAATCAGCGACATCTTGGATCGGATTGTCTTGTGCAGGAGGATCTCCAGCTGAAGCAGCTCCCATCTCTGCCAGTTCGATGCCCTCTGGGCTGACACTGGGCTGACCCTGACCAGGAGGGTTTTCGCCATTTTCTCCCAGTTTGGTGTAAGGAGCGATGGAGCCAGCCGACTCTTGCGACTTTGGGTCCAGCCCCTTTGGCTGGCTGTTGTCGCTAGGATCTGCAGGGTCAGTACTAGTGCTGTACCCGCTCGAGCGGCGATCATCAGGGGCATTGTCTTCCAGAGGCTTTTTGTCCACCTGATAAAAAAACACAGCTGGTTATTAGTTTGTAAGCTTTTCTTTTAAAGAGAACTTACTTAGTGTCTTGGCAAGTCTAGATTTTTGTATATTTGCCTGTAATTTACAGGTTATTGTTTTTTTCATACTCAGAGCCATAATCTGTTAAAGGCTCACAGTTAATCGTGACTTGCAAACTTTAATGTAACTTGCATTTTTTTTTTTCATTTGTGACATGCAGCATTTGTGACATGCAGCAAACTTGACCAAAGGCCATGGTCATCCATGGAAGCAGAGACCACAAACTCTATGTTCCAGACAACAAACAGAACTTTCTTGTACACTTGTTACACATGTTGAGACTGCTCCTCAGGAATCAAACTAAATGTGAACCTGCCCTAAACAACTAGAGACCATGACTGCCTATAAAGATGTCTTATTTCTCATACCTTGTCGACTGTGTCAGAGATGGGCATAGTTGAGTTCATATTGGCATCATTCTGGACCAGGTGGACCCTCTCAAAACCTTTGTTTAAGAAGTCTGCAATGTTGTCGACTTGTTCCTTCTCGTTGTTGTAGCTATAGTTGATGGTGGGGAAGTTCAGCTGGGAGTATGTGCTATCGTAGGGGTCAATCATCTGCAATGGGGGAAAAAAGCAAAAATGTACATGATGCATCTCAGTCAAGTTTTTGCACTGCTAGATCAGTTTTGGTGTGTTTATTGTGTGTGTGTGTGTGTGTGTGTTACAGTAGATGTGTGTGTGAAGATGTGTGTGTGTGTGTGCATGTCTGTATGTACGTACATTTTGTACTATGTAATGATACACAATGTATGTGTGTTACTGCTAATACACAAGTTATGTTTACTAATTCCCTATATTATAATGGACATGTATGTACAGCATACTAATAGCATACACAAGTTTATTCCACAGGGCCCTTTCTTTTCCGAAGGTGGTGGTACCATGAAGGCTTACCATGTCAACCAAGGCTTACAAAATCTCCTTCTTCAAATACAACTATTCAAGTTTGGTTGGCAAAGAGATTTAATCTCTTGATTTTGGTGATGATACTGACCACAAGAACGCATTATCTTATATAAATGACTCTCTTTACCTCGTCGTAATAAGGCAGAGCTGGCCCAGGCACGTGGGGGAAGAGCTTTTTCTTCAGTCTGGAAAACATCCCAAAACATCTTGTTGGGCTCATAAGTCATAAGCCACTACAGTGCTATCTAACACTGGTCACTTTACAGGTACAGGTAAAAGCCCTGTGCACATTTCAACATGTTACAAGCTGTATATTTAGTTTAACCCATACACTGTGATTTAAAATGTATACATAATTGCTCTTTAGTACAATATCATCATCATCATTGCTGGAAAAATAGCTCCAACAAAAACCAGAGACAGTGATACACATGATGTAGCTGTATTTCTGCACTGACAGTTGTTACAAATCTCTGACAAGCTTCTAAAACACATTAGAGAAGATTCTTATGCGTGAACAACAAATATACAATGAACATGGACAAAATCGTAATAAATGTACCTGTCCTTGTTTGTTTTGAACAGGAATCCAACAAACAACAATGTCACCACCAAAGCTGCCACAATGACAATGATTGTTACTGTCACAGAAGTACCTGAGGAGAAAAGGCAACAATAGTAAGGAACGTGGCTACTGCACATTTCCTTGAAAACATAACTACAACACGACCACATTCTTTCAGATGAGATGTAAGGTTGAACATTGTATGTTTGAGGATAGTCACACATATGGAAGAACCCACAACAAACTAACCTTTTTGACAGACTTATCGACTTCTGGCATTTTTCAAAGAATTCCTGGGGCTTGCCAGGTACACATTGAGTGGATCAAACTTATCAGTCTGATTTTTGCGTTATGCCTTAAAGGGGTTTACCAATTATGCAATACACACAAACATATACATAATTTTCTTGTCAACTGAGGATGGGCCATGATCGTAGATGAAACCTTTCACAATTCCTTTTTCAATGGAAATGCATTGTCATGCAGGCACTAAATACACGTATGTCATGATTAACGCAGCATGCCATACTATGTAAATCTTTTTTCTGTTCCTGCCACAGGTGCCATTGTCCTAAAACACTGTTCAAAATTGGTCTGAGCAGCGCTTCCAGATTCTACCATGGCTACTTTTTCGCAGAAAAATGAAATTTCATTTACCTCCTGGAATGGCCCCACCTGTAAAAGAAAGAAACAAGAGTGGAATAAATGAATAACAATGTTTTGCATGCATGTGTCAACAAGTCTTTCTTAATGCATTTACTGAGCAAGATCTATACATAAAGTTGGAGGTGAATTCTAGAAATTTGCATCTAAATATTGAGGCAAATCATTACTTTGGAAACTATACATTTAAAGAGTTTTAAAAAGCAAAGTGCATCTATCGTGTTGATTACCATAACTGCAAAATGACATTATCTCTGACTTGTTTGCTTTTCAAACGTTTTCTCGAGAAGCGCTACCAGGTCCAGCTGCCATGTTAACTGTGACCTTGTGACATCTTCCCAGAACTTGATGGTGTCAGGAATATGGAATTGTAAGAGTATGATTTGCAAGGATCGATGTTCAACAATATTAGCAGGGTGAGTGACAGTGTATGCTTTGAACAAACATCTATGTCCATTGAATGATATTTTTCTATGGTTGAATGTATGTGTCAAGTGATGCAGATTTGAAGACATACTCTCAGCTCTCTATTAAACGTACCGGTACGTTTATTTTTTTTCGCCTCAAAATCCACCCTGTACATTCTTATTTTAGACGGTACGTTTATTTCTTTTTTCATAATCGGAAAAGTTCCGGGAAAATTTCCGGTCCTGAATGTAAAATGACAAAAAAAAACCACTTCTCCCGGCCCAGCCGACAGCAATTGAAAATGTCCCGGTACGTTCTGTTTTGCACGGTACGTTTACGAAGTTTTCAAAATCACGGCAAGTCTAAGAACATATTACCTCCCTTTTACTGTAAATTATATTTGGGAACACATACTGTGTCGAAAATATGAACTATAACGGGCGTTATGTAAAGAAAAATTGGCGAAATTTGCAACATTTTTCACGCAACATGCACACACATCTCACTCAAAACTCCTTGCTCAGAACAATCTTTTTCTTGGGACTATGTTAAAATAATACCACAAAACAATGTATTCTAGCACTTACAACATGTGATACTCTCAAAAAGTCGAAAATCCTACCACAAATATGAAAATTTAGCGCTGGAAAAAGTCCAATTCTCATGCAGTGAAATACGTAAACATGTAGTTTCTCACGGTCGGCAGAGCTCACTTTTTGTGGGGGGGGGCAATTATTTATATTCTTTGTAAGTACAGATAAAACTCTTTCTCAAAAATAGACATAAGCAATTTGCAATTAGCAAAGCTAATTATCATGTAAAAGACCAAAAATAGGAGTATAATTGCAGTCTAATGTGTGAACTTTCACAGAGAAATATTTTGCAAAAAGTGTCCCCCCTTCAAAAAGAATGTCTCAGTTTTTTCTAAGAACTGAGTTCTAAACTTGAAGCCCCGCCTCTACTCATTTGCATATCTCACTGGAAACACTTCAAAGCGTAGCAGGGTAACATAAAACCCTTGACTCTAGACTGTTGTGAAATGCAATGTGTTACAATGTTGCCATTTGTTTGAACTATGATTAGGATGTAGCATTGATCATTTACTTTGGTAAAAAGAGAAATATGCAATGCATAAATGGAAATTTGGGAAAGATAAAAAAGAAATAATTATGTTTAAGTCGCTTTAACATTAAATACTTGTAGATGATTATAAATTATTTTGCACATGGCTTTTACAAACTAGTATCACAATTTGTATAGAGCATATGTTAAGCATATGTTCAACTTCATGAGCTCTAAATGAAATCTTACTGATAGTTACCAAGCTGTAAAAAATCTACTCTTATTTCAAAACTTCATATTACTGTCCCTGCTGATGCAATGCAATGATCAACAACAAATTGTATGAATGCAGAGAAGTCATATTGATGTATGACAGTGTAATATATATACATTTGTATATTACACTGCAAGTGATGCATATACTCTACAACTCCTCAAAAACCTGTAAGAATACTGGCTGTTGACTTTGATAATTTTCCAGGGGGCACATTTATTTTGGGGGTGTATTTATTAGGTTTTGAAGATTTGTTGGGGGAATCATATTCAAGGGGGTATGTTTATTCAGGACCTGTCAATAGTTGAAAGTGACAAGGTCATATAGACGCACACATATATACGCCATGAGAACACATTTTTGGAGCATAGACGTTGCTTACATGTCAATTTTTTAAATTTCCCGGGGGGTACTTTTATTCCAGGGGGTACTTTTATTACATTTTGAAGATTTGTCTGGGGGGTACTTTTATTCCAGGGGGTACTTTTATTCGAGAGGTGAGAGTAGATGCAGATTTGAAGTCTTGTGCCCTAAGAAAAACTCTTCAAAAGACCAGTGATTCTTACCACACATCTCCTGCTCTAACACATCGCTCTTTTCTCCGGGCAGCATCTTCCCATTTGTGTCAATGTTGACTGCCCGTACCCAGAAGTTATACGTCACAGGCCCCTCGCAGTTTCCAACATCAACCATCACCTCCAGAGGGTCTTTTTGTGCAGACACCGTGGTGTTCAGAGCCATGGCGGTGCTGTTTTGAGGTTGGTAGAAGACGATGTAATGGTGTATGGGACCGTTGGTATCATCTGGGGCAGACAGCTTCAGTACGATTGACGAGTCGCCTGAAGGCGCCTGACTCTTTATAGGTGGACCAGGAGCACCAGGGGCTGGAAACAGAAAAATCAAAATCTTTCAAAACTATGATACATCGTTATATTTAAAACCACTTAAGGGATTCAAAACAATGCTAGCTAGTAACTGGAGATACAGTCAAATCTGCACTAGTCTCGTGAAAACCTCTGTGAAAGGAAAACCTGGACTCAGTCTGTGACCACTTTTTGTGGTACATGTACCATAAAGTGTTTTAGGATTCTGGCTACTGTGTCTACATTTTCTAAAGTTCATTTAAAGGACATGACAAGTTTGCTTGCATATAAAAAGGCTGTTAGGGTGTAGTACATTCTAACTTTGCCTGCAACAAAGCAGTACATTTTTCTGTACTGTCGAGCATTTATTAATTTTCATCATATTAAATATTCCACTGTACACAAAATAAAATTTGACTCATTAAGAATTATTGTCCACAGTTAGTGTTCACAAACAGATCACCCAACCAATGAATACTGCTGACTAACACAAAACCTTTTTGGCAGACATACATGTACAAACACATACAATGATAGACAGCTACTGGAACTCACCTCCAATGGGTGTCTTGAAGCTGATTGGTTCACTAAGAGGCCCACACTCCACTGTGCAGGCCTTGACACTGATATTGTAGCTCGTGACGCCATGGACGGGTATGTTGACGGGCATGTTGACACCAAGATCTCTTATCTCTGGATCTGTTGGATTTTGAGTGCTGTTGATCTCGGCAATGTAACGTGTGATGACTCCATTTGGGGTGGCAGGAGGGATCCAGTCGAGGGTGACCACATTAGGTTCCATGATGACAAAGGTCAAGTTGGTGGGAGCGTCCAAAGGAGCTGCAAAGAGAGGAATATTCACATTATTCAACAGCACTGCAACAGTTGGAGTAAGCTGGCAGGGTAGTTGAGGTAAAGCTCCCGAGTATGGGAGACATTGTCTTGAGGTGCAAGCCTCAAACCTCAAACCTCTGTACGTAACAGGACCCAACACACTTATTAAAAAGAGTAGGGGTAAGGTGGTGAAAATGCAAACTATATATAGTACTAAAGCCACACTGCACAGCTACTAGCTACATGAAAAATGTCATCAATTTAGGGCTTTATTTGCAAAAACGCCAGGATGGAAGATTAGTATTGTAATATATTGTAGCCCATTCACAAAAAAGCAACATTTTGTTTTTATTTTTTATTTCAAGACAAAATTAAAACACATGCAGGTGTCATCCATATACTGGTAATGAAAATGTGGACCCATCTTACCTGATTCCTCAGTTTGTATACATGCTGGATCACTCAGATCACTGCTACCCTCAGTGTTAAATGCTTGTACTTGGACACGGTACGAGGTGAAGGGCTGCAACCCCCCCAGCTGGTGGGAAATGGTATCTTCCCCCAGGGCATTGACCTCTCCTATGTCTGAGCACTGGTTTACATCTGTTAAAAGGAATAAAATGATTATGGTTTACTTATTATAGAGATAATGAAGTCAATTTGCCAAAAAAAGTTACTACAATATTATTCTTTTTTTCTTTTTCTCAAGGTGTTCTCCTGAGCTTTTGCCTACTTTTATCCTTCTAAGAAAATTTTAAGGCCTTGAAGTTCTTGGCCTGAAATTGAAGAAATATGGTGTTTGGTCACAAACTCTAAAAGGACCAGGAGAACTACATATAGGAAACACACTAGAAACGAGTCGTGGAAACGAGACAGTCAGATAGGTACATGTAACTCACTACATTCATCCCTCTGGCTGATAATACTAAGAGAAACCACAGTGACTGCTCCCTCTGTCAGAAGACAAAGTAAAGAAAATACAAGAAGTACCCACCATCACAGCTGGCCACCTGGCAGTAGTGGATCCTGTAGCCTTGCAGGAGGCCATTTCGCCACTGAAGAGCGTGGGGCTTCCATGTTACAGTCAGGCTGTTGGGGCCTGCAGGGTTCACCTCCACATCCTCCACGGATCCTTGTGGTACTATCAAGTAAGGGGAGGGTGAGTACCATTTCTTAGGTGGTGCAAAGACATTAGCACACTGTCAATCAAGAAATAACTGTTTTGTCTTTGTAAAGCAATTATATAAGAAAAAATGATAATATTATGAAGCCATGAAAGCATTCACTGACAATCAAATCATGCATCATGAAATGTTTTATGGAAAAAAACTTTTCCATACTGTTGTCTTCACTAAAACACGACATACTATTGGCTCAGCTCCAGTGGCACCATCAGTGAACGTAAGTAATTATAAGCGTCCAAAAACATACATGAAACATGTACATGTAGGTGCATATATTCGATATCTAGCATGCATTCAGATGTTGGTAAAAATAAAGTAAACCCGTTTTATATGTAGTTTTTGCATCATCCAGAGGTGTGAACTGATCTATTACTAGTAATTCTGTCACATCTATCCCACTCACCATCTATTCTTGTGTAATTGTCGACGTACACCGGTGTGCCGAATCCGCCCGCTGTTTTAGCCAGCACACCAAACTTGAACCTGGTGGGTTTGGTGACGCTTAGACCTCTGACGTCAAACGTCCGCTGCGAGCTGTCAACGTGAGCCCAGCCTTTCTCCACCCACTGGTACAAACTGAGGACCTCCACCCATTCCCGCCAGAAGACGATGTAGCCGTTCGATCGCGTCGGGTCGCTTCGGGTCGCGGACACAGGTTGCCATGACAACTGGACGGTGTCGTCGTCAATGACCTCAGAGCTCAGGTCCGTCGGGGCAGTAGGAGCTGTGTGGGAAGATACGACAGGATTAGTAAGACAAGGTGGAGCAAACTACATATAAGCACTATAGCTTTCATGATTGTTAGATGTTGTTCCTTTGGTCACACAAATTCAATCAATTGGTTCTCGGATTCGGCCGCTACAATTTTTCTGATTTGCAAAAGAAATTAAAGTATTCAGGTTTTGAATCGACTCAAAAATGCTCATCTTTTGGTCCCAATAGTTGAGAAAAATCCTTGTCTTCCTAGTTGTTACACTTTTTCCACCTAACAATGCAGGCTCAAAATTCATTGTCTGAATTACAAACCACCCTGGTATGTTAACTTCCTGGCTCCAATTGTAACATTTGGGGCAATCATACGATGCCCTGGTCTGTTTTAATTTTTTAATTTACTCCCCATCGCTTCACATTTTTTCTGAAAAAAATCTGATCATGAGAACCACACCAACAAATCAAATTGTTGTGGCACAACAGGACTTTTGTAAGTTACAAAATTAATGGAATTTGTAGAAGAAGACATTAAAACATTCATGGATTTCTTTCCAGTAGTGTAAAAAAAAGGACTTACTGTCTTGGTACTTTGGTACAGTCATCTGTGTATCAGAAGTCCTTCCAATACTGTTGTTGGCTGAAATAAGGATCTCGTACGTTCTCTCGTCCTGGAATAATGCACTTGGCAACGTCTCCCCACTGTCCGTAGTCTGGTTGTTGAAAACGAAAGTCCTTCGCTCAGATTGTACGATGCTTCCACCCTCTGACCGTGGCTCATAAGTGACAACGTAGTCGACTCCCTCACTGTGGCGGTCCCAAGGCGGTAAAGGCTGGGTGAAAGAAAAAGTTCATCCTTTAGAACAGTTCCACCTACACTCATTTCTGTATTGTGCAGGAAGGCTGCATCCTACATTGTATAACTTGAGAATACCTTGAGAAACCCTCAGTGTAGAAGGCTATCAGCCTGTAGTCACACTCTCCTCACTCTAGGTATTTTCTCTTGCTCCAACAGTCATCCAGTCTCGTCTTAAAACTGTTAATGCTTTCAGCCTTCACAACTGTACTAGGTAAGGAGTTCCAAGGTTGTACAGTCCTTACTGCAAAGGACTGGTGTCTCAGTGTTGTTTTGGCAATTGGCACCTTTAGCTTCAAACTATGCCCTCTGGTTTTCTCGCACTGCCTGGTTTGAAAGAAATTTTCAGGGTTGATCCGCTCATGTGCCATCATAATTTTGTATACTTGGATCATATCCCCTCTTTCCCTTCTGTACTTAAGCGATGGCAGCTTCAACTCTTCCAGCCTAGAGCAATACGGAAGCTCCTGTAGCTTAGGTACCATTCTCGTTGCCCTGTGTTGCACTTTCTCCAGCAGTTTAAGCTATAGTTCATGAACCTGCCGTACCTGCCTGTTCATGAACCATGAACTATAAGCTGGTTCATGGTTCCAACTGCACATGTACAAAATGTACAATATGGATAATGTGTCAAAGTTGAAGGCTCTCTAAGTCTAACTTTAAGCACTTCCTCACCTTCCACAAGACCTTGACAGTTCTTTGGTCCGTGCTTTCCTTTGTTACGAGCAGCCAGGCCTCAACTTGTCCAGAGGGAGCTACATGTATAGGAACAAACATTATACATCATTTTGTAGTGTTACCATACTTACAAGACGCTAAATCTGTAACAGACAGCTGTATTGCTGTAACACACAGCTACATTGCTGTAACATACAGCTGCATTGCTGTAACACACAGCTGTATACTACTGCAAGACACACTGTATTGCTGTGTGTTACAATTCATGGGCCATCACAAATCAATTTAATTAGATGCAAAATGCAGAATGAACAATCTTACAATTTTCGATCAATACTGCATGGACCAATTAGGTTTAACATTTATGAAAAAAAAAGAAGTAAAAACCATTTAAATCTATTTTTTGGGGTCTACATTTTGGGTATTCATAATTGCAAAATATAACAATTTTTAAAATTCTTTCTGGAGTATTAAGTTCTACATTCAAACTTCAATAATCAAAACTAAAAACAACAACAACATGTCACCTGCTGGCTGGGTCCTCACGGTGATGTTGGAAGCACAGTCGCTCCAATAGCCTTTGAAAACTAAAGTGGGTGGCTCTGCACTATAATCCTTAGCCAGGGGATGGGAACGCACACAGATAGTGTACTCTGTGTAGGGGTTCAAATCTCGCAGTTCCAGGAAGGTTTCCATGCTAGCATTCCTCTCCTAGAGAAGTTAAGACATTACTGGTTATCATCTACCAACTCATTTGTATCTCATGTCATCTCCAAGCAGATTCTGTGGAGCAATGGGAGTCTACATGTACATTGTCCACCTGTATCCATTGTATGACACCACCCCACAGAATCTGTTTGGAGATTATCTCACCTTCTTTTATCTGACAATGCTACATGTTTTCACTAAGTTGTTCATTCCGAAACATCACAGAATTACTTTCTGGTGGAATTATACCGGCTTAGTTTTTACCATAGTTAGTACATTTGTACATGTATTTATTTTGTATATAAAGACATGAATGATAAATTAAATACTGATGTGTACCTTGTAGCTTTGGTCCCATTCTGACCAGTACCTCACTTGGAAGGACAAGTCGAAATATGAATCATCCAGACCGTCTGGGTACTGCCAGCTGACAGTGAGCTCACTTTCCCCAACATTGGAGGTTCTCACATTCTTTACAATCGCAGGTTTCACTACAATTCAGAGGAACAAGATTTTAGTGCAAAGCTATTTTGTTGATTCTAAATAACTTAAAATACCAGCAAATGATGTCATTTTTCTAACAAGATTCCTTATTAAATGCATGTAAATATCATCAGATTCTACAGAAAATCCAAAATTTTATCAAACTGAAGCTTTTGTCAGTCAAACAAATAAAATAAAAATAAAACTTAAATAGTTTGACAACTGTCTTTAGTCAATGTCTGAATGAAAAAAAATTAATTAAAGATTCCAGTTCAAGGATATTTATTATAATATTGTCAATGAGATGATTTAACCACCTAAATCTGTAAACTGAAGAAAATTTTGATGTACATAATGTACAATAACAATTCAAAGACATTTTTTATTTCAGATTGTGAATTTCAAAGGAATTTTTTTACCAAACACAACTACACTATTTACAGAACTTAGGTATGTTTCTATGATATTCATGCATATTTGATAGACATAAGACATTTAATATAAACAAATCAATACATGTAATGCTTATCACACAAGACTTAGTAATTGTTAGCAAATTAGCAACAAAATCAAGATAGCAATTGCAAAAAGTGCAATCAACAACTAAAATGTTCATATTATTTCTTTCATTCTCATTAGCAATTACACACCAATCTATCGCTAACAAATTAGGCAATCGTCAGTAAAAACAAAAGTGGAGCTTTCAGTGATGAGTCAGAAGGAGCGTGCGAGGTTGGGTTTTTAAGTTGGTTTCATCGTCAATTATGTGTGGAACAACAAGCTTTGTTGACCTCCCTTTTCAAAAACTATATCAAAACTAATAATCATAGCAACTTGAGAGAATATATCAAAATTGTTGTGAAATCCTTTGAAAGTGTGAGTATTTTGACGTTAGAACACTGGCCAAACTTTCTCATCTTTTGAGAATGCCATCTATGAAATTAAGTTTATGCAGCCTCGCAGCCAATAGACAATCAAAATAAACTGATGATTACAAAATTTAATACAATTTTCAAAACATGCAAAAAGTTGTTATCCAGAATACAAAGAAAGTCGTCCACACATTATTGATTGCGTCGTACACATTGTGCACGTAAGGTTGGCAACATTAGAAGAGCCACGACGAGGCAGTTTCAAGGAAACAGACAAACGGGTAACATTAGGATGTGTACAAGGTCAGTATAGAAAGCACAAGACACAAAACATCTTAGATTACAATACGTCAGGACAAGGAGCAAGCTAGGGAGCATGCAGTGGATGCATTGTTTGATGTGACTCCATGCGTAAACTCTTCCCCTTAAATCAAACCTTTCGAAATTCAATGAAATTGTAGTGCATGTTCCAAAGGTGCGATGAGGTGTTAATCCGATTTGGAGCGGGTGGATGCCAATGTTAGTAATACATTCACAGGTGTGCTTTGGTTTGTTAGCAGATGACTGTGAAATGAGTGAAGACCTCAGTGGTCCATGCAACGACTAAGGCATCGACTAACGACTAAGGCATCAAATCTTGTACCATAATCATTGGGGTAGATCAACTTGGGTACTGATGTAGCCTTGCCCAGGTCATTTTTAGCCGTCACAACTATTATGTGTACGACCCGATACGCAGTGCGTAGCGTCCAATGGCAGATCAACTTGTTTTGTCTAACCCGCAAGTCTGGACACACCGTGACTTGTTTTGCCCCTCTACACGGGTACAGGGAAGGAGCAGGAGGAAAGGAGAGGTAAGAGGGTCATAATCAGATTCTACAAACTACAAAAAGCTACTTTATGCTCCACCCCATAAAAGCTGCAATAACAAAAACTATTTACTACAATGTATCACCTACTGCCACCTGTAAACTGTGCAAAAACCGTATAGTACCATAGTGCCCCGGATCAACAGTAAGAGATGATGTTGAGCTGCCTAGTGCGTTCCACGCACTCATCTCGAACATGTGTTGGTTTCCCGAATTTGTAGTTCCCCAACGACAAATTATTTGGTCCTCTTCGGTCGAAAGATTGGGACATATATGGACCTCAGGATGTTGCACGCTAAAGAAGAGGGAAGGAGGTAGGTGTGCATGGGAGAAGAAGACACACAGAGGAATTAGTTACTGAACTGAATCTGTTAGAAGAAAAAAAAATGCACTCTAGTGGCCATATATGTCTGCTGCTCTTGCCATGGCCACCTCCACACAAACTGAAGTGTGATACCATAATGTCCTGGATCAAGGATTACAGGGTCGGACGTTACAGTGCCCAGGTCATTTTCGGCTGTCATGACAAATTTGTGTAAAAGGTCGGCAGCTGTTGTGTCGGTGCAGAAGAAAGCCACTGTTTCGCCACTCGTTGATGTAAGCTCACATTGGTTCACAGTTCGGAACTCTTTATCTACACTGTGGGGCCATGGAAAAAGTGGTCAAAAGTTAAATCTCCGAGCAGATGTTGGACGCAAAATCAATGGACAGTTAGGAAATTGTGACTATCTTTCCTCCCAACGCCTGCTTGGAAATTTGTCAAAAGTAGCTAGAAGAGAGTGTACAAGATCATAAAACTGGATTGAAGAGTTGGACTGTCAGAATAATACGGGAACCCTTCATATCTCCTTACTAAATTTCGTAGGCCATCTCTGCATTCTTTGTGTAAAATGCTGAAAAAATGCTGTTCTTGTCTCGGGACCATGACACACTCAAATGACTTAGTATATTGTAAAATGTGTGCATACGAAATTATTCTAATGCATTTGCCCATTCTACAGCATATTAACCTTATTCCCCATGCATATGGAAAGCCAATGAAAGAATTGGAAGAAATCTGTTGATAGGACCAAAAAATCTGTTACAGCTGCCTGTAAGGTTAATGGAGATCAGTGTAATGAATACATGAGAACAGTAAGTATCAAAGACTTTAAAGTGCTGAAAATATAGTGTTGTTAACAAGATTCTAGACTACAATATACATATATCTCATTTGGAACTTTGGGTACTGGTAACTGTAGCCCCTACATGTATACTACACGTACACTGTAGGTAGAAAATCTTAGATTTTATTGGTATGATACATTTGTAGGGGCAGTGGGCGTATTAATTCACTGTCATGGACATTGAGTATTGGGAGACAGGGCCCATCCTTCTTCTCCCACCCCCTTTTAAAAAAATGTACCTCCCCAACCAAAGTCAGTTTCCCATTTAGACCTGGATGGAGCAAGGAAAAACCGCATCCAGCCAGGAATGGAACCCATGACGTCCTACATGTTCACAGCCTCAAGCGATTCATAAATTGATTTTCAAAAAAGCAGCAATGTGATTTGTTGATGTGTGCTTTTTTTGAGTGGGGGGGGGGTGAATAACACCATGGATGCATCTCGTGTCACATTGACAAAACCAAAGAAAAGAAAAGAGCACAAAGTCTGGAGGACACGAAATGGGACAAACATCAAAGACAATGGAAACTACAATGTAGGTACAACTGTAAACAACAAACAAAACAGAGACAAAGATCTGAATTCCACGTTCGGAAAATCAAGATGTTCAACCGTTACTCATTTTGGTGATTGAATGTAAAAGAATTGACATGACTGATTGTTTCTTTTGATGTCAAGAATTAGAGGGCTTTTATTGTCATACGGATTTCAAAATGCATGCACATTTCCTTTTTGAGGAGATCATTGCAATATTGGTCTTTTGAAAGATTTTTTTTTCTTTTCATTTTTTACCAAAATGGCCAGGATTGATGTAAGTCGGTGGCCAGGTCTGCTTCGAACCCAGGGCATTTTCAGCTGTCAGGATAAACCTATGTTCAAGCCCAGCACTGGTGTACCCCCAGTGGCAAGCTACAGAATCTTCCGACACCTTCAGGTCAGGGCATACGTACTGTTGACCACTACCATCACTACAACACAATAACAAACAGGAGAGTTGGGAAATGGTGCAAACTTAGGAAAAACATGATTGTATATGTACAGTATGGATGAGGAATTGAATGTAACTGTCAGTAGTTATTGATGAATTGTGCAAACACTGGTCACATTAAATTTGAAAGATGCTGAAGGAAATCTAACATTCCTACTACATGTACCTAGGCCAGTAGCTGGCCCATCCTCCCTAGCTATGTAAAGTAAATATATCTTTAACAACAAAATCTGTGACAGAAACAAAGTTTATAATACGAAGAGAGCTTTCTCTATAATGTTTAGATTCTATACTTCATCATCAATGGCATTTCACATTCCCAGTGTCTATCCAAATTCAAAGTGACCAGTGCTCATTGGCGTAGTACTGAGCACCCCTATTTGACAGGTGGTACAGTCTATGCTACATGATGAGAAGCAACACTATGGACATGTACACTAGTTCAGCAGGGGTGCTGTGAGAAAGTGCTGCAGAAGAAAACAGCATTGAGCTGATATAGAATAGTTTCTGGGGAAAGACATTTGTAATGAAATTGTGTTAACAACTGAGTCCTTCCTGTTGACTTCTCCTCTCCATCATTTATGTACAAGAGTTGTGCTGTTTTCAGACTCAGTTTCTGCCATCTTCTGGGAAACGTTTAATTTTGTCCAGTTCCTTTCATTCCTGTAGTTACATGTATATCTCTGCTGCTGATAATTTTGTAATGCCTTGCAGGAAAATTGTGCAAATGTCAATAATTCCTTGTACAGCAAAAGTCCTAAAAAGCAACATTCAACACATTATTCAATCTAACAGATCAGATTTTTTTTAGTAGACTGTACGGAAAAATTGATGTTGGAGCTTAGTAGCTCCATCATATACTTGTAGATAGCATTACCTTGGTCATGTGGGTCAACCGAATGCAAAACTGAGACGGTGCCAAGCACATTAGTAGCTGTGAGATTCATATAGTGAATAACACCATAGTACGTCCCATCAGGAAAGTGACAATAGTTTTCTCCCATCTCTGGACAGTAATACTCCTTGCCAGAACCATCACTGCAAGATAGTGAGACACCGGCTCCAAGTTAACATGCACCCGCCCAACATAGCTGCAGTCAGTCACAGTTTGAAGCACACACCAATGTATGTACTATGTTGTAATATACCTTGGTTCTCTGGGTCAACCTCATGCAAAACTGAAGCACTGCCAAGTGCATTAGTGGCTGTGAGGGTCATATAGTGTAATACACCGTATACAGGTGATTTGCCACCAGAATCAGTGTATGTCCAGCGGCAATAGTTCTCTCCCATCTCTGGACAGTTATACACCTCGCCAATACCATCCCTGAAAATAGGGAGACACCGCCACCAAGTTAACATGCACATGCATTTTTATATTAATTTTGTTAACTGTATAATATGCCTAGGCATGCATAAGATTGATACATTGTATACTTTAAAAGCTTATATAACTTATATCAGATTGACCAGTGCAAAAAAGAAGCAGTGCCAAGCGAGCCAGCAAAAGTCTGAGAGTTGTCGTCACTACTGAAAAAGGCTGCTTGCTTATTGATTGAATGAGTGAATGAATGATGAAAAATTCTCTTGCCTGTTTAATGAATGAATGAATGAATGGATGGATTGATGGGTGAATGAACAAATGAATGGATGGATGGATGAATGAATGATGGGGCAGGGAGAACATTACTTTGTGAAGTTGTTAAATATTGTTAATCGCTTTGAATTAGTTTAATATGATTCATAACATCATGCTTTAATGAGGTGATCTTCTGAGAAAAAAAAGCCGGATTCTTCTAAACTTTTCTTTTATGGTCTGCAAATCATTGATTGCAAGGGGTATGAAATTGTACAATCATCATATTTCTATAATAGTTACAAACTGTAAAGACTGCAGCTGTGCCTGCCCCTTTAATAAGACCTTTTACATGGATTTCTTTGAAGCAACATGAGATATACAGGTACAAGGGGAAAAGGCTATGAAGTAAGAACAAAACCACCAGAAAACACCTTACTGCAGCCCAGGAGAAGAAAATCCAGTTACTGTAGAATAAATCTATAGAGAGGAAAAAGGACATTATCAAATTGTTTCTAAGAAAGGCTTTACTATTAGTTATACTTATACAAGTAATGTGCACATTAAAATCTACAAAGGTATGACGAGTAGTCAGAAAGCAACCTATGTCACACAAATTTGTCAAGGAAATATATCAGTTATTACATGCAGATATACAAGAAAAGACAAGTGCTTTGAAAAGTAAACATGAGTAAGATATCACATCAATACATAAGTCAAAATAATCATACATGCATCATGTCAATATAATGTATCAAAACATCAAATCAAACTATCAAATCTTTAATAGGCAATAATAGATATCACATCTCTTAATATGCATACATTTTCTTCCTGATTTAATTCACAGGGCAATTATAATAGTTGCAAAACTGAACTCCGAAAATGCAACAACATGCAAACATGAGATGTACATGTACTGTACATAATTAATTATTCAACAAAAGATCTTTACTAAAAATCTACATACTACACATGAATCATGCATTCATAAATGTTGCTTCTTTAGACAATTTGTATTCAGCCATAAGCCAACCAAACTTTCAGCATACATGTACAATGGCATGTACTACAAATAGCTCTTCAAAATTATGACCAACTAGAATTCCGAGATCTCATACCTCCATGAAATATGATCTTGATATGCAAATGTAAATTTCTTCTTTGATTGTGCAAATGACCTCTGCATTAACATGATATATGCATCGTGATGTATGTTAACTTTTGATTAACTTACAGATGTCCCAAGTATGACATTCTCATCATTCACCATTACGAAATCATAGAATTTTCACATTAATTATGCAAATTAGGTCATCATTTGCATAATTAGTATCTGTTGAAGTTCCGCCTGCCATAGGTTACATACATTACATGTATGTAAGTAGTATAATGTAAAACACTGTAATTATAGAATTTCCTCATTAATTATGCAATTAAGTCCTCATTTGCATAATTTGCATTTAATTATGTACATCTCTCTCTCAGCTACCTACACACCAAAAATAATGAAAATATGTTGTTCCTGTCTGGACTTATTGGCTTTTAAACATTTCGCCAGAAAGTACCCTGCAGTTCCAGAACAAGCCGCTAGGGGGCCCAAACTCATATGACTTCTTCCCAAGCACGAGAGCTACCTTCCATCAAAACTTCATGACCCTAGCATGTCCAGATCGCGAGATATCAAAACCGGAAGTTGCGCTGCAGTACCAAGGGAAGCCACTAGGGGGACCAAAATCTAATCATTTCCAGTTTTCGTCACACCCTACCAACACACCAAGTATGAAACCAATCCATCCAGGCGTTCTTGAGTTATCTTGTTGACCAACAGACGGACGGACAGATAAACGCAACTGAAACTATAGTTCCACGATCTCATACCTTCGCCAAATGATGTTAGCCTTTATGAGTAAGAAATTATAGATTAATCCCCCTGATTGTGCAAATAGGATCCTATATTTGCATCAATTATATCTGTTGATCATTACCAGAAGACAGTCTTATCTTATCAAGAATGCCATTATAGCACTTCCTCATAAATTATGCAAATGAGGTCCTTATTTGAATAAGTTTAATTATGTTCACCTTCACATAACTATCAAATATCCCAAGTATGAAATTCCAGGCAGTTACCACTATGTAAATATTACATTTTCTCATTAATTATGCAAATTAAGTCTTCATTTGCATAATCGATATCTGCCTGTATTTCTGCCGTTCTTAATTACATATGTCACAAGCTTGAATAGTCCTATCATGAAATGCAGCTGATTTATAGAATTTCCTCATTAATTATGCAAATTACATTAATATATTCATAATTATAATATTATTATGTTAAGCATCACTTCAGCTACCTACATGCCAAAAATCACGACGATCCATCAATCGGTTCTAG